ACAACAGCAACCCCCTCCCCAGAACAAAACATATCTAGCAAGCAAGGAAAAACAGTATTTTGCTGAGAGAGAGAGAGAAATGCACAAAACAGCAAGAAATCTTTCTAATTGCATCTTTTCTGACATTAGAGATTAAAAAGCAGCGTGCAATAATGTTTAGATCTCTAAATTCTTCACTCACATCCAGGTCTAATAAAATCATTTAAAGGGGGAAGACACAGTAGGGGAGGATTTCACTTTTATTACATTTCTTGACTTGGGTAGATTAAATATATATGACTTTAGATCCCCCTCTGTATGTGAGAAGAAATGTGGGAAACACATATATGTATGCATATATGTATATACATAGATATACGCATACATAGAAACATATATATGTATACACACATACACCTATACATATAGATATATACATACACATAAACACACACACACACACACACACAAATATAAACCGTCACACTACACAGGACTGAAGGACACTTAGTACTATTACCCGTACTTCTTTACATTGCTATAGGAGATAGATTAACAGGAAGACGGAAAAACTTTTCTATCTATAGCAGGTAATGAAATCATTTAATTATCTCAAGATCATTGCGAATAATTAAAGCCTTTGACCAGAGACATTTATCTGTAGACCAGTGACTTCACAGTAAGCAAGCACAATGGGCGCACTTTTTTGCTTTTCCACTTTGAGGTCCGCTTATTAAAATGTTTAAAAATCGAAGGGCGTGCATCGGGTGTGTTATTTAACATTAGGGGCAAGAGATTTTGAAGAAAGGAGCTCCCAGTACATTCGCCGGTACCCCAAATTGGAGCTTTAATGTTCAAACCAGAAATAAGATAGGAGAAAACGGGTGGCCCCTCCAGCCTGGACCATTCAGCTAACAATTTACAGCAACACCCCCCCCCCCCGCTTTGTGGTACCTTGTCAAGACCAGGTTGACCCACTCCTTAGAGAAAGGGAATCCATGCACCCCAACCCCAGCCCACCCTTCAGTCTCAGGTACTCAGTTCTCCCCAAATCGACGGCTAAAAGTTGCTAAAGAGCTTGTGGGCTCAGAGAGAGAGAGAGAGAGAGAGAGAGAAGGAAAAAAAATAAACAGTGAAAACAGTGGCGAGAATCACAGCAATAGCAAAATAACCTTTCTCCAGTGAAAGAGCAGAGGTACATACGCCCGGGGGAGGTGGGGTGGGGTGCGCAGACTTTATCTCTAATAAAAATTTGTGTTTGGAAAGGAACCTTCCTAGAGCTTGGCTAGGAACAGAGTTCACAGCACACACCTTTGTACTTAAGCTGCGGAAATGTATTTCTCGTCTATTAGAAGTGCGCGCAGCCTCTCACCCTAGGCTCCTGCCCTTGTGCCTTGCTCTTTCTCACCCTCCTTTCCTGCCCTTTATTCATGGATTCAGAGTTGCAGGACTGCGGGCGAATTCTTCCTCCAATGCCACTGTGCCTCTTTTGTACTTTTCTTCTTTTTTGGGGGGGACACGGGTGACGGTGGTGGAATCGTCTTCATTATTTTTTTCTGAATATAAACCTGAGCTCCACGTGGGAGAATTAAGCTAATTTAGCAGCGATTTTTTTCTCCCTTCGGTGGCTTCGACCCTCGTACCTCGGATTTATTTATTTTTCCCCCTTGAAAATATCTGCTCCCACCTCACCCCACCCCAACCACCCCCCCCCGCGCGCGCGCACGCACACACACACACAAACACACACGGCGTTTAAATCTCGACCCTCTTTCTCCGATCCACCAAAAGCAACCACCACCACCTTCACAACAACTTGTTCATCACAACACTGTGCAGAAGGATTTTGCTAGTCTCCTTAGCTTTCGTAGCCCTGGAGTTCAGGGGGAATGGAGGCAGGGGTGGAGGGGGCTGGACAGTAGCAGATTGTAACCCAAGCTGCCTTTCGAAAAATCTTTCGGCAAATCTTGAGCTCATGGGGGCTTGGGTTGTTTTTTTTTTTTTTGCTCCCCCTTCATTTTTAAGAGGCACCCTTTTTTAAAAAAACCTGGACACACTGTCGGGGAGAGTCTAAGGAACGCAAAGTACCATTTTCCGCTTTGTTCTTCTAGCCGCTTCCAAGCTAAGGAACATAATAGACTATAATTTATTTAAGTGAATTCTCAGAGTCCACTGGGCCGGTTATACCAGCAATAGATTGCCACTGGGAGCGAAGAGGCTGTAATTTCAGTCTTCCCCCGGCCATTTACCGAGCACCTGCGTTCATACAAACGGAGGTCTTTTAACACACCGCAGCCCCCGTTCGCTCCTCACCACACTCGGCTCCTTCCAGAAATCAAGAGGCAAAAGCACCCACCAGGTTGACCGCCGGAAGGAAAGCGAAGTGGTACTGAATCCGAAAACCTCTAGGCTACACAGTCAGACAACTATTCCGGTTTTAAACTTAGAAGCGTTAATCACCCGAGAAATTTTCAGAGAGGGACCCCCTCCATGTTTGTCCGTCTGGAGAGCCCCGTCGGCCAGAAACAACGGCGACCAGCAAGATTCATCTTAAGTCCTGTACGCAGCAGCGCTCATTAAGTGCTTGGGGGAATTGTTGGGAAGGTATATGAAGCCGCGTGGTGAGTTGGAGAGGGTTATAACGTTTGGCGAACCTGCGACCCAGCCTCCAGAAATGCCCTCCTGCCTCCCTCCCTCCCTCCCTCTCTCTCTCTCCCTCTCTCCCTCTCCCTCTCTCTCTCTCTTCCTCTTGCTAATTCCCCCCCGGAGGGGGGAAACAGGGAGGGAGAGAAGTCTGTCTACCGACCATTTGCTCGCTTTGCCTGCTCCCTGTCTTAAAGACTCTCAAAGGCTCTTTCGTCTGGCTGCGTGTGAGTAGCAGAGGAAAAAGAAAGGGGGTCAAAATAAAAAGCGGGGGTGGGGTGGGGGGAAGGAAGGTTGCCCTTGATGAAGACTAACTGACGTAATTAAGGCAGTTTCTTGTTGCCGAGTTAAAAGCCAACCCCAACAACATGAAACTACCTAAACCACGGAACAGCTGCAGAAAAGGGCGAAAGATCCACAGTCATTTCTGCCAGAAAGAAGGAAAGACAAAAAAGGGATAGAGGGACAGAGAGAGGGGGGAAAGAAAGAAAGAAAGAAAGAAAGAAAGAAAGAAAGAAAGAAAGAAAGAAAGAAAGACAACATTTCCAGTCCTTTCCTATGTAGGCTATGCTTCAGAATATGTTCCTGCTTCCTTTCTCACCCCACATTGGAAGCTGAGCAAAGGAATGACCAAGCCCCTTAACAAAACATACTTCAAATTAAGGCAACATCTTTAATCTCTTCATTAAGATTCCCCCTCTCCTCCCCCTCCTCTTCCCCCACCCCTCCCCTTTCTCCGTCTTTAATAGAATCTGCATTCAGCTCTCTCTCTCTAGTTCTCTCTGGGTCTGCGGTTGACACTTTTAGCTGAGCTGCTGGTATGTCCACTATCCTTCATTGGCAAACTGGCTCCGGTCTGACATTATTCATTTTGCATTGCATACTGCTATGACAGTTTCTGTTAAATAAGGAGGGGGGGGAAGGAGGTGGGGAAGAAAAGAAATATCCACAAAGGGAAGTCTCTGCGTGGGCGTGCGCGCCTGTGATCCCACAACATTTTGAAATGCCACCAAACGCCCTTGCCTTCCCTTTCTTTAGAGTCCGTGTCAGGGAATACCCAACTACAACCCCAACTACAACGTGTGCTGGGGATTGCCAAAGTCCTCTGCCGAGCCACAAAAACCAAAAACCAAAAACCTCAGACTCTCTGGTGTCCCTTCTCAAGAAAGCTGAACTTCATTAGAAGTAAGTTTAAAAAGGGGGAAAAGAAGGAGAAGGAGGAGGAGGAGAAGAAAAAGGAAGGAGGAAGAGGAAGAGGAAGGGGTGTGGTGGGGGTGTTGGTGGCCAAGGGGATCAACATGGAAATCTATGCACCACCATTCTTCAGCCATGCATATTCTGGTCGAAAATGAGCTGTCACACAGGCACAGGAAAGCCCCCCCCCCCAAAGTCCTAAGACACCAAACCAGACGCCCCATCTGGATCAAACCTAGGTAGCCTCAAAGTGGAGTTCACATCCACGCTGCCTTTACCTTGAGTAGACGCAGGAAGGGGGGGGGGAGGAAGACCAACCCAGACACACACACGCGCGCAGCACACACAGAGGGAGAATTCCACTTGCACCTCAGCCATGTATCTCAGCCAAGAAACCGTCTGTCTTACCTTTGCTCGCCTTCCACCGTGACATTCCCCAGTTCCCTGTGCTAGGCTGAGAGCAAGGGTGGTTTTTAAAAAGTGTATTCCTTCTTTCTTTCTTTTCTTTTTTTAGTCATATAAAACGGTTCTTCCAGAGGAGGAGAGAAAGGAGCATGTCTTTCCTTTAAAAAAAAAAAGAAAAAAAAAGCAAGAGAGAGAGAGAGAGAGAGAGAGAAAAGGTGGAAAGAAAGACGGACGGAAAAAGACCCCTAGCTATGAGGAGTGTGCATCCCAAGAAAGCTGCTCGGCTTCTGACTTGCTTCCCTCCTCCACAGTCACCTTTAAATGCATCTTTTACTGCTGCGGCACATTATATTTGCAGATCATAAAATCCACCTCCAGCGCTTACCAAGACTGTCCTGACATTACTGTTTTATGACCTTGACTTATTGTGGTCACCTGGATAATATTTAAATCAACGTTATGGTCTCTCACTTATATTAAGCCCGCTAGGATACTCTCCTGAAAGCCTTAAAAGGATGAGTACTGGGGGGGGGGGAAATACCCTAGACGGAGAGGGAAGCGGGGGGGGGGAGGGAGACGTGCTTTTTTTGGCAGGGGGGGGGAGAGAATCACTTTGAAAAATACCCAGTTGTCCAGGGTTCTAAGAAATTTATTTGGCTCCATATAGAAAGATACATGCACAGATTCCACATACAGGATATATTTAAATAACAATCACAAAAAAAGCACAGGCATCCCCCCCCCTCCCCATGATAAGATAGCAGTGCTGCTTTATTTTCTTTTTCTTTTTTAAATATAATGGGTGACAGCACCACCTTACTGAAAGGAGACTGCATAACTACACAGAGTAAGCATTTCTTTCTGCTATTTCCACATACTCACATACTCTGAAATTCATTGGCATCAGTATATCTTTTATTTGTGGTACAATAGGCAGGCTACACTAAGGTAAGAAAAGCAAACTTTCAAACATAGCTAGTATCCTAAACATAAAAAAGGGCATAGATGTAGATCCTTCAGTCTTCCACCCCAAAACACACCCTTCCCTTTGCTTTGTGCTGTTTCTGAATAATTTAAAAAAAACATCTTAGAAGCTGTTTGAAAAGCTAGTAAGCAACCACCTGGTTCTTTATTTTACATGTAGAAACACTGATGCAATATATATATATATATATATACATATATATATGTATGTATTCGCATGCTCATACTGATGAATGCATCTCCGCTCTATAATCTGTAAATATCCAAATTATAGAATTTAACACATAGCCTGAGGTCGCCTTCTTTTCCCCTCCCCGCCTGCCCTCCTATACTCCTTGTAGTTTATACCCAGGGGGGGGCGGAAAAATAATAATGATAATAATTAAAAAAAATACTGCACAAGATTTGCAATGATTCTCCCCATATAGCCCGTCCTTTCCTCCTCTGAACACTTTCAAGTGAAATTAAAATTGGAAGTCAGTTCGCGAATTCGGTTCTCTCTGTTCATTTTCTTGAGTTTCATCCTGCGGTTCTGAAACCAGATTTTGACTTGTCTGTCTGTTAGATTAATACTCTTGCTAATCTCCAGGCGGCGCTCGCGGGTCAAGTACATATTGAATAAGAATTCCTTCTCCAGTTCCAACGTCTGATGTTTAGTGTAAGGGCACCTTTTCTTTCTTCCGCTCTTTGCTGTCAGCCAATTTCCTGTCGTGTTTTCTGCCTTTATATCCTCTGTTAAAAATAATATTATTAAATAAGTATCTATTGGAATAGCAAAGAGAGCTTCCTAGAGTCAAGACTACTTTTTTTTTCCCCCCCTGCAGCTTCTTTTGCTAATAGGAAATCTCTCTGTCCACTGCTAAAAAATTATGGGCGTTTTACTTGCAACTCCTTTTTATTTTTACTTAACATTTACCGATTTATTAAAAAACAACAACAACCCAATTAAGCATTCTGATAAATAGCAGGAGTTAAGGGCTCGCAAAAAGCTGGGACCGAAGTCTTATTTTAACAATATTTACCTGGGTATAAGATACATAATGCCAACTCTTACTAGATTTTTTTTTAAAACATACACACACACACACACACACACACACACACACACACACACACACACTTCTCCTATGACACATACGGAAAAGCCTAAATAGGACTTTCTTGGGAAGACAGGCCGAATTTTTAAAGATTTTTTTTTTTAAGCGTCAGATCTATCCATAGGCTCCTAGAGTTACAAAATTCCATCCAAGTTTCTAAATAATTTTTTTTAAAAGAACTTAATTCTAGAGGTTTAATGGTTGTCCTAAATTAGCTGCTGCTTGCAGGCGCGCGCAAAGCTCTCGGCTCAGGCACTGCTCTGAAATTAGCACTTCATATTCAAAACTAGTCCACAGCAAAACAAGATGGGGTGGGAGATTCAGAGGGTGAGCGGAGAGAAATATTTTGCCTGTCTATGGTGGTTCTCTCTCTCTTCCCCTCCCTCCGTTCCCAATAGTCCAGACTCCATTTTCCTTTGATGTGAAAGCTCTGGCTAGTTTGAATATGAATGAAGATAAACTTTCGATATTACTTTTAAAAACAAACCGACCAAGGACCACCTTCCTATCTGTCTGTGACACGGGCATCACAGGCACACCCACGTATACAACACCCCGACTTCCCCCCCCCTAAATATCCCTTTTTCACACAGGCGGGCATAACCCCAACTATTCACTTCAGCCTGCAAATTCACAAACACTTCCCCAGATTTGAATTTGGACCTTCTGTGGCTGGTGGCAGAGGTAGTCAGCTCTCCCCCTTCAAAGGTGAGGGCAAGCCTGCAAGCCTTGCCTTGTCTACCGGAGTCTTCCTGTCCCAGGATCCGAATTCTTGCCCCAAATTTAGGAATCTCAGCAAGGTGCTCCCAAACCGAATTCGGCTGCGTGGAAATGCCTTTCACGTGCTTAGTTAGCCCTCTGCCATTGAACCTTGTTAGTTCCTCCTAAGGGTTTGCCTTTCCCACAAACCTTAAACTCCCTCTCCACACCTTGCATGGGGGCGTGCTGGATGTACAGTAACAGAAACAGAGAGGAAGACTCCATATAAAACAAAGAGAAGGATGGAAAGATAATAATAATTATAATCCTCATCAGCCCCATCAAAATTCATCCCCCTGCTGGCATAATACATACAGTGTTAGACTTCCAAAAATAGCTCTCTCCTTCCGCAACGAAGAAAATTAAATAAAACTTTGGAAAAACCTAGGCGGGACATTTCAAATTCTTCAATAGAACTGACTGTTGAGATTAAAAGAGATCATGAAGTTGTTGGGTATTTTTTTTCCCCTGGTCCTCTCTTTTTCCACCTCTCTCTGAGATCCCCAAAAAGCCAATCGTATTTTATTATTTTTGTTCATTTTACCTCTGTGGATTGAGGCCGCTTGAGAAAGCGGTTAAGCAAGAAAGCGTTTTGGGCAAATAGTTTTTAGAGATTTTCACATAACCTTGACATTGCATATTTTCTTATTGGTAGATAAAATAATCCATTCTTGGTTGCACGGAAGAGGATTGGAAAATCCGTTTCAGGCCATTTTAAAAATCGTATTTTAGCTCTATATAAATGCATATATAAAGATGTGGGTGGAGACACTGGTAGATGTAGATACACACATATGGAGTGTATATATGTGTACACATGCATACCCATGCACGCATTTACATACACACACACACACACATATATATACATTAGATGAGAAACAGAGAGGATGAAATGCTTGTATTTTTTGGTGCAATTCAAGCAACTCACGTGTGAAAAAGGTACTGGTGAAAGCATGCATACTAGCACAAAATACGTATGCTAAGAAAATGTACACGTACTTCTACAATCCAAATCCTCTCTATTTGCTTTCTAAGTTTTTCCCCCCCTTCAATTCCAAACCGGGCTTTGTGAGGCCGTGGGAGTCTTACACACCAAAGTACTTTTGAAACACCTTTCTTTTTATCTGTATCTGTTCCCAACAGTTTTGGGGGAGGTGGAGGAACTCTTTGCGTAAAGTTAATACTATTCTGAAGAAAACAAACTCTCCTCGTTCATTTTCTTCCCTTCCTTCACTGGGAGTACGGGTGACATATAAATTTAATAAATAATAATACCTATTTAAGCCCTCTCCCACCCTTCTGTTCACTGGCCCCCTTTTTAGGCGCCATCTGCAAGATAAATTTAAGTATCTTCTGTGAAAGCCCCTTCTTGATCCCTCCAGGAGCTGATCTTGCCCAGAATATTTTAACTTCAAGCAGGGGTTCCTACACCCTCGCCAATGGAGGAGGAGGAAGAGGAGGAGGAGGAGGAGGAGGAGGGTGGGGGAGAGGACTTTGTTTCTGCGCAAACAAGACCCTTGAAGTGACTCAGGGGACATGCAGCTTTGAGAATGGAGCTCAACAACCAAGTCCAGTTTGAAGTGTTTGGCAACCCGTTCCCAGCACACCTCACATCCCCTCCCCTCCGGCCACCTTCACCCCCAGCAGCCCGCAGCCGGGCCCTCGCCAGTCAAATAATTCTCAAGACAATCAACCACGGTCACGCCACCACAACACGACACATCCCCAAGAATTTCAACGCCTGCTTTCAGGGCTGGGGGGGGGGGGAAGGAGAGGAGGGAAGGGGGCGAGCTCTTCCAAACAGCCCGTTTGAGAAGTTGCAACCGCTCCTCGAACCACTCCCTCGCCCCTCCGAAGGGGCTCGTGCAGCGCCGGGAACCCCTTGGGATCCCCCTGACTGAGACAAAAAAACAAAACAAAACAAAACAAAAAAACAGCTCCGTCAACGTAACCAGACCACGTCGCCTGCCCCTTCCCCGTCAGCCCCAGCCGCTGCCCCCACGGAAACCACAGCCACGCCAGGCAGGGGCGTCCACTTCTGGCCAGGATGACTGAGCCACACTGCGGCGCCTTCTTTCAAGCGGACGTTAAGGGGCTCGCTGTTGCTGGTGTCGTTGTTAGTCGGGCTGTCATCGTGCCCCTTTCGTTCGGGCTTGCTCTTTGGGGGGGCCGGGCTGAGCGCTTCCGAGAGAGAGAGAGAGGGGCGCAGAACGCCGCCCCGGGTCCAAAAGAGAAAAGTTGGTGGAGTTTGACCGCAGCCCCAGAGAGGCCGGGGCTCCGCGTCTCAGACCGTAAGCCCGAATAACAGTAACAACAATAACAACAACAACCACGGCCACCGCAATAACAAGAGCGACCACCTCCAAAGAGCACCAAGCAGAACCTCCATCCCTAGGGCTCCTCTCCCGGGAAGCCAGCAGAAGGATCCCCCCCCCCACCCACCCCTTACCTTACCTTTTGCCTCGTGGTCGGAATTGTCACTGCTGCTCTCGGCGCACTTCTGCCCGCTTTGCTCGCTTTCCGACGGGCTGAGTTTGGCCACGGCCAGACCCTTCTCGGTCTTGACGTCGCCAGCCGGGCTGTTCCTCAGGTTGGGCTCCGGCTTGGCGCTTTCGGGGAAGCCCCCTGTTGCTCCGGGCTGGGCGAGGGAGGCGGGTGGCGGAGGTGGAGGTGGGGGTGGCCGCTCGGGCGGCGGCTGGGGCTGCTGTGCGGCGGAGGCGGCGGAGGGCGGCGGCGGCGGCGGCGGACCCGGGGTCTGCTCCCGACGCTCGCCCGGTTGGCCGAGACCCGCCCTGGGTTCGAAACCGGCCTCGAAGGCGCCGGGGCTGCCGCCGCTGGGCGCCTTCTCCAGGGAGGAGTAGCCTGGGCTGGCGCGGTAGTAGCTAGGCAGGGGCACCTCTTGGTCAGCTAGGCAAGCTTCAGGCATCTGCCCGGGGTAGAGGGTGACCTCGGAGGCGCTTTTCGCCCTTTTCTCGGCGTTGTACATGCAACAAGCATTTTCTTCCTTGACACTGGCCGGGAAGGAGCAGGAGGGCAGCTGCCTTGCAACAGGTTGCTCGATTCGGTAGGCGTTTTTGGGGTCACACCAGGCGTCTAGCTGAGAAAGGTAAGGCGGGTAGGTGTTGAGGGACAGCCCGCCGGCGTGGTTCACCTCGTCTCTTTTGGAAAGAGCCGGGATGATCCCACAGTTCCTCATCATCCCACAGCTGAAGTCGCTCGCCGACTGCATATACATTTCTTGATTAGAGGAGTAATTCTCTCCCCGGCAGGTACCAGCCAACGAGTCCATCAAAAACGAGTTGGGAGTCACATTGTTGGGACATGACATTTTCAGAGAAGGATTTTAAAGAGGAATACTACAGCCAGGGGCTGACATCTTTTTTTTAGAGGGGAAAAAAAAATATCAGCACCATAATTATCCACGCATCGGTCCCAACCACGTGATCACTAGGCCAATGAGGATTGAAAATGGCCTTGATGATTCAGACGCCAGTGACGTCACCGGGGTCAAGTTGTTGCGAGAGAAGAAAACCTGCGTGGAGCAACAGCGACATCTATCCGCTTCTGGAAGGTAGGGAACCCAGGACCTTCACATTGAACAAAGGAGGGCGACACGCTTTCCCTCGGGTTTGTTTACCAATGAACGAACGCGTGTCTGCAGCGGACTGGGGAACATAAAGGAAGTGAACCTGTAAATAGAAACAAAGTCAAATTCAAATTAAAAGGTCAGCAAAGTCTATCTATCTATCTATCTATCTATCTATCTATCTATCTATCTATCTATCTATCTATCTATCTATCTATCTATCTTTTAAATAAAAAAAATTGGAAGAAAAACAAATGAGCCAATAATCGAACACTAAATGAACTTTTGGATTCTTTGAGTTCTTCACCCCAATTAAACTCGAAATGCACAGAAAATGTTTCTTCAGCTACCTTGTGGTTTCTTTAATACTTTGCAGATTCAATGTTCACCATGGGACGCTCAGTTTACTTCCCAAAAGTCTTTAGAAAATCATTGTCGTCAATTATCATCACCTGGAGTCAAAGAAATATGAAGCCTTCAGATTAAATCACTGAGATATTTCCATTTGAAAATCAGCATAGTCACTGACATTTGTGCTGTTTTAGGGTTTATTTTTTAAAAAAGTATTTTTCTTGCCTTTACTGTACGAAAGTGTCTTTCCTTCTATTATTTTTTGGGGGGAGGAAACTTCCTCCTCAAATTTTGGAAAAAAAAAAACCCTGTGCCATTATTTTAAAGTAAACATCAACCCTGCTTAGACTTCTCCAGAAATCTAAACATAAGCACAAGTTTGTAAATAAACTAAGGTAGATTAACAAAACTAAAACAGCATTCTTTCTTATAGGAGTGTGTGGATTTGGTATCTACTTCTTTCAGGAGATTATCACAATCAAGCAAAGTATCAAATTGTGGGATGTCTGAGGAATCTTTTATTTAGCAGAAAGAGTGCTTAAATGCAATTTTATGCACAATTTTATTTGATCTTATATTTATTGATTGCACATTAAGATTTTTGGGTTTTTTTTTTAAAAAAATGATTGTTTCCTTTAGTTAATTTTCCTATTCTAGATTCATTTACTTTCTATGCTTTCTTTCTCTTTGCCGTCTCTCTTTCTCTCTGTGAACTTAACGATCGCAAAATAATAATTGGCATCTCATAGATTAAGTTATGTTGAACGAGATGTTTTTCTTGTGACTGTGCTCTTTATTGGACATTTTCTAAACTGGGTTGGAATTAAGTCGAATTGTTCTTTAGTGTATATTAAATTGACTAATGTGTTACAATCCCAAACTGACAATCCTGTGGATGATTATCAGTTTGGAATGTTTCTCTACATTTTGTGTGGGAGTGGGCGTGGATGAGTATAGTAAGGAAATATCTGCCATCTAACTGAAATTTTGACAAAGAGACAAATAATGATTATATACTTATCATGGTGACTACAAGAATAGATTCAGTCAATGGAAGGAAACTCAAGATCATTGCAAAGGATCTGAAACCTTTAGAGGGTTCAGAGTCATTTTCAAGGGATGGAATGAATGCCTTTTCAAAAACAGATAATGGGCAAGAAATTTTTACTCAAAAAGACTGAGAGATGTGGAAATGTGGAACTTAACCAGTTTGGGTTAAATACATATCTTTTAAATATGCTGATTGCTTCCTAGAACAGCCAAGCTTTAAACACAAGTTTTCTATGACCTGGTTTTACAATTCAATTTGGCTGTTGCTTTGAAAGGACTTGGGGGGGGGGGAGGACACCTTCAACCTCCCTCCCTCCAATCTTCAAGGGTGAGAAGTTTTAATATCTTAGGCCAAGGAAGTCTTAAACCACATAATTCTATTTGTCTCAAGTCCTCCTTCACACACACAAACGCCCTCCTCCCCCGCCACACAATTCAAAATACAACATGCTAAGAGCTTTCCTGCACTTTAAACATTGTTTGCTTTCTTTGGAAAGCTATTTGTGACTTTATAGCCTCTATTTGCCTTATCTGCATAGGTCTTTTTGAAAGAGTTTGATAGAAATCGTTCTTTTTTATGATCTCCAACGAAAATTCCACATAATATTTATAAGCAAAGAATAAAATGTTAGCATGGGAGCCAATGTTTCCTCCTTTATAGGTGAAGAAATTAAAGGCCAATACTGTTTGGGACCATTTAGCTTTCTCCTTTTCTCTCCCAGTTCTCTTTCTCTCTCAAACCCCCCCCCCTTATTTTTGCAGCTTATATTGCTAACACAATCATTTTGGGCTACAAAGCTCAAGATCCCTTCCTGTAGGCATTTTTGGTGAGAAAAACTGCCTAGATGAAAATGAAGTGACAATATATTTCAAAGTCTTCCATATCTATATTTTCCACTCTGCATTCTTGTCTGTATTGAATTCCATCCTTTCTCCCCCATGGGAAATAGGAAAAGGAAAGCCCAAACTGCACTGAGGTAAAGCCTGTGAAATGACATTATTATTTTTTTCCAGATCTTTTTCAGAGATTCATATATACCACTGAGGCCTGATTGAATATGATTGGACATAGGATAGAAGGGTTTTGAATGTGTAAAGTCAGTAGAAATTACATATTGATTGCCTGTTTGTCATTATGATTGCTTTGGTTTTTGGTTTTTTTTTTTTTTTTAAAGAAGCACATTTGTTTCTCCGACTCTATCTGTACGAACACATGGAAAAGTTTTCAGTGTAAATTGGGTCAATAATTGAAGCTTTCCACAAACAGTTTATTATAATGGATAATGGAATGGTGAAATTTAAAAGATCAAAACAGACTTCTTAGCTTCAGTTCAGAATATGCTTGTGTATGTGCTATAAACCTATACACTAAGTGGAGGTCTTGCTGTAAACCAGAGCAAGAGAGTGGATGTAGAAGTCCAAATAACACTTAAAGTAAAAAAATAATTAGTATGATAAACACGGGTCATTAATGGAAAAAGAAATAAAATTCATCCGCTTAAGTAGAACCCCCATTGGGAAAATGCTTTAATTGCGGAAGATAAATACCAACAAATGCTATTAAAACTTAAATGGAGGGGAAATCTCTAAATGCAGAAAAAAAGATTTTAACATCTCAATCTGGGTTTTTACATTACTTTAGGAACAAAACATGCAGTGCGTATTAGGTATATTAAAAAAATAGTAATAAAATAAAACCACCAAAGAAAGATTGAGGTTGTTAGGTTGACCGAGGGTCATGGGGATTACACATAAGTAGAATTGACGCTGGTTTGTGAGTGCTTTTGGATTCATTAATGCATTTATCTTGGGCCTGGTAGTTATTTGGAATTATTTGACTGAAGTAAAAGTCAGGAAGTGATTAATTTTTTAAAAAAGTCAAAGAAACAGGATAAAGTGCGCCCTGCCACTTTTCTGCCTTCCTGAGTACATGGAGCAATCTGCAGACGGCTTGCTATTGTCTGCAGTGCCTGATGGCCTTTTCTTTGAATGCCAAAGCCAGACAGTTCAGCTGACCCCCCCCCCCAAAACGAGGTCTTGAAACCAGTTCCCCTTTGCTTCCCTTGGAACAGCCTTCAGCCCCAAGACACGGGGCACGCGGCTGCAAGGAAGGAGTGGGCTGCAAACACACACACACACACACACACACACACATACAGGGAGAGAGAGAGAGAGATGCAGGAACACTGGCACAGCGCTGTCTTGAGCTGCACATGTGCCTTAAAAAAATCATATACAAGTGTGCCCGCAGGCATGTGTTTTGCGACTCACACAAAAGCACTGCCTCAAACTTTTCATATTTTACTTGTCCTTTTTTCCCCCTTTCCCTAATTATCTCATCACGAGTTACACGCCACAAAATGCCTCTTATGCCCACCATATGTTTAACCAACTCTCTCTCTCTTCCCCGCCCCAACCTCCTTTAGCCATTTTTACGATAAGCATTCATTTTCACTTCTTGGGGGGGGGGGGAAATTGGGTAGGAACATTTTAATGATTACCTTAAATTTGTATTTCTGCCTGCTATTATACCCCATGTTGTGAAAGAAATAAATGTTCTGATTTATGACGAAGTACATGAGAGTACAATAACAAGAATGCAAAAATAAAACCCAACCCTTTAGATGTTGGCTTAGAAAGTGTAAACTATCACCACAAGAAATCTATCAAACTTTACAGTCCCTCTTATACTGTTTCCCTTTTTTTTTTGGCATAAGCCGAAGAATTATGGAATCATATTACATGCCTTGAGGTGGTATTGAAAAACTGCTTTAGTTATTCCTACCCCCAACATAGAAATTAAAGTTGATGTGCCTAACTTCCTCCTACAGTACTCACATGTTACATTTATCCGCACACTGTTCCTTGTCTAGAATAGATAAATATCTAGATGTATGTGGCTATGAACACACAAAAAAAATATTCATCTTCTTCAGTTTAGTAGATCCACTGAGTCAGGCGGGGAACAATACAGCTAATTGTTTTAGAATGAAAAATGAAAACTATATATATCATTTGCTATATGATATAATTCTATTTTCACATGAGAAGTTAAGCGTGACTTTAATCTGGGGATGGAAAACAAACCTTTTAAAAGCTGTCCTAACATAGAAATCGAAAGCACTTTGCCTAACTAGCATGCTAATGTTATTAGTATCCTCATTTTAAGACCTTAAGGAGCAATGCTAAAAAAAAAGAAATTAAATTATCTTATATATATATAAGATAATACTTTTTTCTGTTCCCCTTAAAATGGTATTTCCATAAGCGCCTGATCTTTTCTAATGAAAACTATTGTGTAAAATGATGTACCAGAAAAAAAATGAAAGAAAGAAAGAAGAAAGGAAGAAAAAGAAAGAAACCGAGAAATATTAGATTTTTTTTAAAAAGGAACTGACACACAAAATTAAAAGTGATAAAATATATAAAATGTTTATTTTGAAAGGAAGAACCAAAATATTACTGTGAATTACAGGAGGGGCCCTTTTCCGACTACCTTGATTGTTTAATATACTTTGAAAGACTATGTAAAAATAGTTTTATTTCAAAATATATATTGTCTTCTCTTTTCCTCTTTTCCATCCTTTCCCATTGTTCTCCAACTGATACTTTCCCCTATTCCCCTATTGTGAGAGAGGATTGTTCATATAAAACCAGAATTAGCTACTTATTTATATTTTTCATTCTGCTTCACTATATTGTAAAAATCAGTGGTAGTACGTGGTTGATTTCATTCCGCCAAGTGGATCTTAGCATAAAGGTGGAAATTTGGATATTGTATAAGTATCCTGTTGGATCTAGTTGTCTTCTGTCCTTTTTAGATTTTAAATTGTATCTTTTGTGTGGAAAATTTAATTGACACGCGGGGATCCAGTTATTGGAAAGATCATTTGAATCAAGTCTTAAGATTTACATTAAAAATCTTGAAGAATAATGGCTCAATACCAATGCATATAAAGGCATATGACACCCTTCCTTCCTTCCTTCCTTCCTTCCTTCCTTCCTTCCTTCCTTCCTTCCTTCCTTCCTTCCTTCCTTCCTTCCTCTCTTCTTTCTTCTACACTACAAATAACGTTGCTTTTTGCCCCCTAAAACAAACAAAACGCTAAACAAAACAAGCTATAGGAACATTTTGAGCAGCTTTCATCGAACGGTGATCCATTTTCTATTTGCTGTAGCCAAGATTCCAAGGTTTTCCTGGGCTCCAAGCTGCATTCTTGTGATTTCATGGTATGATTTGTGAGTTATCACAAGCAGAGAAACAGTGCTTAAGACCAACATATGTTGATCAGCCCTGTATGATCCACCTTTATTAAAAGCATATAAAAAGGGCCTTAATGAGTCGCCATCTTGAGGGAGGATTGGGTTAGCTCGCTTGTAATAAGAAGGCTAAAGCTGCATCTGGCTTCTTTTGCAGATTCAGAGAAAGTTCAGATTTGTTCAGAAATATTATCCAGCTGGAAAATGAAAAGGCTAGCAGTTTTCCTTAGTTCAGGTCAATGTCACTCATTAACTGCCTACGAATATCTATCTATCTATCTATCTATCTATCTATCTATCTATCTATCTATCTATCTATCTATCTATCATTTATCTATCTAATCTATCAATCTATCAATTTCATTCAATGAATCTGTCTCTTCTGTCAAAAAGTTTTGTGCCAGTCAGATGTTCAGAAAAAGAAAAAAGAAAGAAAGAAAGAAAGAAAGAAAAGAAAGAAAGCAAGAAGCACATTTAATTGTTGAGAAAGGGGTTGTTCTAAAACACCAGTTCCGGATTCCTCTAGCTGCAAAGCGGGACTAAGAGGGGATTTTATTTATGTACAAAGAAAGGCTCGTTTTCTTTCTGGCCGCTCAGAGTGGGCCTCCCGCGAAAGTTCGCGTGAAAAGAAGTCAATTAAATCAGCCCCCGCTTCACCCCCCCCCACAAAGTCCGCAGCCAAGCGAAGAGGAGCGAGCTTCAAGTCCACTTCCCAAAGCCACTGTCGCGGTTCTTCGGGCTTCCGTGGGTCCAGCTGGGCCAGGTTCCCGAGCCTAAAGAGAAACTCAGCGGGCAGCCAACTCGGACCCGTTGCCCTAGGCGCGGATCTTGCGGATCTGCGCGGGATCGCTCCCCGAAGTGTGGCGTGCTTCACACGGTGCCCCCGAATAAGGGACTCGCCCCGGGAAGCCCGAATCTGCACGCTCGGTCAATTTCCTCAATGGCAGAGCCACGTTTCCTGCCACGTTTCTAGCCTCCCGGACCCAGGAGGAGGAGGAGGAGGAGGAGGAGGAGATAAACTCGCCGAAGCCCTCCGGTACCTTCTCGCACCCACCCGGGACGAATCCGTTCCACCCCGCCAGTGGTGTTGAAGGCGAAGCTTGCAGTTAGCCAGTTACAACTACGATAAGAACGTCGGGAGGAGACATTTCTTGCCCTCCAGCCGACCGAGAGGCAGCTGTGGGTCCTCCCAGTAGCCGGCTCCGAGCTCTCCTCCACCCCCCTCACCTTTCTCACTAGTCTCCCCGCCAAGACCGCCTCTTAAACAGCGTCCAGTAAGTTCGGGCGGGATTCTTAGCAGGAGCAGGAAACAGGTTGGGTCTCTGGGTGTGTGTGTGCGTTTGTGTGTGTGTGTGTGTGTGTGTGCGCGCGCGCGCGCGCGTGTGCGCGTTGGCAGCCAGACGGAGAGTTCCCCCGCAATTAGCCCGAGGGTCATTAAAGTAGCTTTTCCCTGCAATCTTCGGCCTACTACGAGGAAGCCTTTTCTCCTCCGATCTCAACAACAACAACAACAACAAAAAGTTGCGTTCTGCAAAAGGCTCAAAGCTGGTAGGAATCGGGGCGGGGGGGGGTGGTTAGGGGGAGGAGAGGGGCGGAAGAGGCAGAGACGGCCGGGAAAGGAGAGAGAGGTCGTCGGGAGGGGTTGCCTAGCCGTAAAACTTTTATGCCAAACAAAGTTATAAAAACTTTCCATGCGTTAAGATATTAAAAGGTTTTATAACAATCATAAACCTCGTATGCGGCAGCAGCGGGTGTCTGGGTGTCTCTGCGTTAATGTCCCGCCTTTCCTTTAGATACAAGAAGCTACCGAGCAGCTGAGTTAAATATGAAGGATCATAAACGCCACGGCTGGGTTCGAAATTTGGGTGGCACTCCCAGACACGCACACGCGCGCGGACACGCACCCCCCCCCCGCCAGTCCACTTACTGAACTCGGTAGGCGGGAACACGGGGGGGGGCAGCGACTAAGGGCCTTTCTGATTCCGGTTTATTACAAAAGGGTTAAAGGTGATGGACTTGACTCCCTTGAAGTTCAAAGACATCATATATTCACTTTTCCCCCAGCTTCTTGCATCTCCCCCCCCCCGTTTTCTCCCCCTCCCCCGCAACAAGTAGAATGTTAGTGCGCCAAGATATTCGGCTCTTTTCGGATTTTTTTTTTTTTCTTCAGCTAGATGCCCCGATTTTAGGGAAGGTAAAAACAGAGCCACTTCTCTGGACTCAGTCTTATAAGGTGTCCCTCCACGGTGACCTTCCCGATCCCAAATCCCTCCCCTCCCCTCCCCCCCGCATCCAAATAAGAAGGGGAAAAAAAACAACCAAAACCCCACCCTTTCCTTCTTTCCCCTCCCCGGGAAAGCGCATTAACGGGTTAGTCCTACCTCGCACGGCTTCTTAATACCCTTGTAAAGTCCCACAAGGTCTATAAACTTGGATTTTACAACTGGCATTCCATTTTAGCTGGAGAAAAACTTTGAACTAGGCCTCCAGTTTCATTATGCCGCAGCCCTGGCGAAAAGATGTGGGAGAGGAGCGGGGTGGGGGGGGAGCAGGGGAGGAAGGGGGAGAGGTCGGAATGAGAGCGTTTGTGTGTGTGTGTGTGTGTGTGTGTGTGTGCGGGGCAAGGGGGGGCGGGGCAGGGCAGGAAGCTGGAGAAAGGCTCAGCAAAGGCACCCTTATTTGTTTACTATTTACGGCGGAAGTCTTTTTCTATGGCCAGACGGTGGTCATTAAGGAAAAAAAGTAAGCTGTTTAGGGCTGCAGGCTTTATTACAATGTCTAGACTAGTCGCCTCCTTTGTCCAGACAAAACGGCCGGCTGTGAAGGTATCTCGACTGGACTTTGGGACTGGGGGAGATGGGCCTTATTGCACCTTGGCTAGAGTTTTCCTTAACCTTGGAAGGGTTTCGCCCCCCAGCCGCTTTGGAAAAAGAAGAAGGGCACCTTGAAGTGGCGCGCCATTTTGTTTTCTCAGTTCCCAGGCTTTCTTTCTTTCTTTCTTTCTTTCTTTCTTTCTTTCTTTCTTTCTTTCTTTCTTTCTTTCTTTTCTTTCTTTCTTTCTTTCTTTTTCTCCCTCACCCTCTAATAGTACGCCTGCCCCCCCCTCACTTTTATAGTCTGGACTTCAGCCTTTCAGTACGTTTTGGCTAGTTTGTGAAACGATCGCCCACAAGACATCTTTATATTAAACATATGCACAGACTTTCTGAATCTTTGAAGAAGCTTGTTACTTTGGCGTTTGGGGCTCCAGAGTCGCCTGGAAAGAAGCCGATCCCTAACAGAATAAATAGAGAGAGCCTCGGGAGGCAAAGCCATTCCCACCCAGCATTTCTGTGTGCAAAATAGATGATAGGCAGGCAGGCAGGCAGGCAGACAGGCAGGCAGGCAGGCAGAGATATAGTGATATAGGCAACCCTTACCTCATGTAATAGAAAACATTTCTGTCCAGATAATCCGTCCTTTCTTCACGATGAAATTGGAAATGGATCTGACAAGCAAACTAAAGTTTCTCGCCCGCTTTAAACTTGAGCACATGCGTGTGGTTTTCCCCATAGCTGGATAAAACCCAAAAGGTCCATCCAAAGTATTTTAATTGAATATAATCTGTGTTAAAAGCCTATCAGCCCAGGTATGAGAAAACATATTTTGAGCTCAGCTGTCCCTTTATCCAAAGACTGCATACTTTCTGGCATGAAGGGAAATTATATAAGGACTAGCCAAGGTTCAGTGCCAAATGTAGGGCTTACACGTTGAGAAATATTAGACTCCTTCCCTTCTTCCTCCCCCCCCTCCCTCCCTCCCTCCCTGTTTGTGATACCTCCACATCTGCACAATTAAAACACGCATAAAACCAGTTAGGCACTTTCTTCTTATTTATTTTGTACTGTTAGCAAATTGAGGCTCTCTGAGCAAGCAAGGGCGGGAGGGGGGGACTGATTGACACGCAAACATAAAATTTCACTCCTGTCCCCATGTCCTGGGGTTGAACTTGTTTTGCTTAAGAGAAGGAATTAAGTACTTGACTTTGTATTTGCGCCTCGCGCAAGGGGAAGGGGGGGGAGAAAGGAGGGGGCGAGGCGCTTTATCCTTGACGTTAGGGGAAATTCGACTTCTTTGTCGGGGCGGACAGAAATGCGCTCCTTAAGCATCGCCGTAATTGCATGGGGGGGGGGAGAGAGAATATTGCAATATTGCTCATTAACCATCATTTCAGCATATTGCAATATATCATTCCTGCAGGAATAGGGAGGAAAGAAACGGGGAAAATCAAGAAACAAAAACATTACTACATGGGAGAAACAGACAAAGACATCTGGGGCCCAACATAGCAAGGGCCTGTATTATTGGGCCAAGAAACGTCTATAAATGTAAATGCAGTCAGGAAAAAACAATGAACTCTACTACAAATGTCTAGTTAAACACAGAAGGTTCATATTAATGTGAGTATATACACACTCCCATACAGGACGTTTCTCTATATGTTATATACGTCCGCATTTGTATGTATGCAAACACACACACACACACACACACACACACGTGTATATATGGTGATTTATTTTGCACAAATCTTTCGCTGTCACACAGCTATCCACGAGCTCATACAGCCCATGGACACGTTTCTGTTCTGGCATTGAAAGTCCTGCAGGAAAGTCCACACCACTCTGACTGCAGTTTGTCTTTTTAAGAGGGAAATACTAATAAAATGGTCAAATAAAATCATAATATAGAACAGCTTGAAATCTCTTTATTTGCCATAGAATTTCACAGAGTTGCCCTGGATTCAGTTCTTTACATACACCAAGATTTATTTATAACTGCGGTTGCCGGTTGCTGGAGCTGTTCTTGTCCTTGTTCCTGTTTGCTGGTCTCTCATGTCCAGGAGAGGGAGGGAAATGCATTTACACACTATTTAAGAGACAGTTATTGCAAATTTATTGTAGTCCATTCCACTTCCTCCCGGTCCACCCCCACCCTCACCCTGACCCCAGATGAAGAAACGAGATGGAGGAGAAAACTCAACCCGGGGCTGGCTCCCTATGTATATATCACAGGTCTAGGAGGGAATCAATGGAACCTACATTATTATAGTGGTGCCAATTCTCGGAAAGCAGATTTAAATCTGTTTTCAAGCAGCAAGGATCCTCAGCATGTTTAGCAGTAGAACCCCTATGAAGAGGCGTGTGCGGGCATGGTGGGACAGGGGGTCATCTAGGCATCTACACACATGCACGCTTATCTACACATTCACCATGTTCTCACACACCTACCCCCACACACCTATCCATGCAGACCCGCATGGAGTCTTCCTCCCAGCTGAAGGCTGAAATCTTTGGGTAGGGAACGTTTTAGAACTCATTAAACTCACTTTAGCACCAACAACCTGCATATTGGAAATCAGGACCACCACAAAGCATTTTCTGAACAGAGTTCTGTAGGTTCTTCAGAAGGATGGAGATGAGGGATTTGAAGGGTGGTAATGAGAAAGGAGAACAATAATAATAATAACAACAATTCGGGTTCCCATTCTTCAGAAGAAAACATTCATTAGAAGTTCATACAAATGTTCAGTCTTCTTTCAAGATTTAGGGAAAGGTAGAAGGGACTATACAAGACTTTTTTTAAAAAAAAATCGTGTCCCAAACAATCCCCCAAAATACAAATCTAAGGAAGGAAAAAGATTTAAAAGTCAGGGATTGTTTTCCAGGCTCTACTGTCAAGTCAAACCGTACTTGCCATATTCTTATCTTCTTCATACACAGAATACTTCAAGGAGCAGAGGGCTTTTTTTAATTTTTAATTTTTGTTTACAAAAGGGTAATAAAATAAAAGAAAGTTCACAATAAGGGATTTCCCGAGAAATACTGCAGGCGGTCTCTGCTGAGTTTTTTTTCTTTCATCCTTCTGTTTTGAAACCAAATTTTAACCTGTCGATCAGTGAGATTCAACATCCGAGACAGCTGCAGCCTTTTCTCTTTGTTGATGTAGACGTTGAAGAAAAATTCCCTTTCCAGCTCTCTGATTTGGAATTTCGAGTAGGGACACCGCTTCTTCCTCGTACGGGGGGCACCTTAAGGGGGAAAGAAAGCGAGAGAGAAAGAGAGAGAGAGAGAGAAATACCACCAGAAGGCAGGAAAGCAGATACACAAAATATCCTGCAAAATCCTAACCTAGCCCCCCCCCTCCATACACACAAACTAGAGAGTTCGCTTGCAGGCGACTCCTTCCACCATCCACACACAAGCACACACTTCTGCCAACAAAGCCCACGTCGTTTGCAACGTTCTGGCCAGGATGGGAAGCATATTACAACCATGTGGGCAATCTTTCCCGCTCGGTTTTTAAACCTAGGACAATTTGCCACCCTGAGCTTGGCCCTCGGAATAAGAGCCAAGGATGAGTTTAGGCGCCTGCAGTAACTGCTGGGAAACAGACTTTTTTCTTTGGTCTTGCCCCGTTCAGCACCAGCACCGGATCCGGGTGGAACAGAAGTAGACCAGGCGCTCTGCTTATGCTTCTGGTTAACTGGAGTGCCACCTTCCGCGGATCCTCAACCCGCACGTTGTCACGCACAAAGAAAATCAAAGCCACGGATCTAAACCGAATCCCCGCCCAAGAACAGGGCAGAAAGGAAACACTTCCCCCACCCCTCGGGCACTCGAGTGGCAAATAAAACCCGGACGCGCGCAGGCAGTTCCTGCAATATTTTACCCTCCCATTCAGTTGTTATGAATGAAAATCGATGGCATAAGGACGCATGTCTGATCAATTGCTTCGATCCACGTTTTTCAAAGAAGAACCATAAATGTATGCCTTGTGCGAGGGTGCGGGGCGGGGGTATTGGAAAGAGCGTGTAGGGTCTCTGAGATGTCCTGTGTCTGTTTCTGGGGGGGCGCCTGCGTCTCTCTCTCTCTCTCTCTCTCTCTCTCTCTCTGTGTGTGTGTGTGTGTATGTGTGTGTGTGTGATTTCAGATGTCAGCAAAATACTTTTAGGAGCAAAGTAAAAACTGCACAAACAAATTAAAAGGGAATTTGGCCGGGGCTTGGAGAAAGATCCACGACACCTTGCAAGCAAAACAAACCCAGCTCGTGCTCATGACGCCAAGGTGTTGCTCTCCCCTACGTTTACACACCCGTGCAGAGAGCACATGCATTTTTAATCGTTACAATCATAACCACAATACCATCTCGCCCACTGCCTCTTACCCCGCCTGCCTCTTTCGGGGTGGGGGTGGGGGTGGGGGGAAACCCAAGCCTTGTCCTACCCCCCCCCCAAAGCCCGGCACCACAATCCCCTTCAAGCGGCCCTGTAAGTTCACGATCAAAGTTAATATTTGTCACCCCGGTGGGCTTTTCAAATCTCCCCCGACTGGTGGGGGCCCCTGGGGTCTGCGCCTCCCGTCTCCCTCGCTCTACCCAGAGCCGCTTCCCATCGTAAACATGCCTCCCCGTTGCAAGACCCAGCTTTGCAGCTTATCATAAAATCCCTTTGAATGCTTATAAAACTCCACATAAAACCTGGCCGACAAAACAGCCGGCTTGTCCCCCTTCACCTTTCCCCATTTACGGCCGCGGCGCTCGCTCCTGCTCCTGCTCCTGCTCCCGGGCTACCTACTGGCGCTGCTGGCTTTGCCGGCGTCCTTGTTGGCCGAGGAAGAGGAGGCTGAGGAGCCCGGGTGGGTGCCGTCCTCCTCGTCTTCCGGGTCGACGCCCTGCTCGCCGCGGGATGACAGGGCGGCGGGCTCGGCGGCGGCGGCGGCGGCGGCGGGGTCGCTCTCCAGCTTGCTCTGCGCCTTCTGCGGGCAGCCCTCCAGCGGGGTCTCGGCCGAGCAGTAGGCGTTCTCGAAGAAGCGGTCGAAGCCCTGCGGCAGGACGCTGTTTTTGTTCACGCCGGAGTAGAAGCCGGTGGGCGGCGGGGGGTTGCCGCCGGGGGGGTGGTGGTGGCCGTAGGCGCTCTCGTTTTTCATCAGCATCTCGGTCATGGTGGAGGGCGGGAGGCAGTCCCGGTGCATCAGCTCCTCGGCGGAGTAGCACGAGGCGTAGCCGCTCCTAGGGTGCCATTTATTCGAGGGGTCCAGCCCGTAGGAGACCTCGCGCACGGGCGGCACTTGGGAGAGGTTGGCGGAGTAAGGGTAGGAGATCTGGCGAGACGGGGCCTGGGGCAGGAAGGAGGACACGGTGGAAAATTCGGGGACGTAATAGGTGCAGCTGGGGAGGTAGAGGTTCGAAGCGGCGCAACCTGCGCGCTCCCCGAAGTCGCCGCTCCGCTCCTTGCGCGACTGGGAGCAGAAGTTTCCGAGGTTGACCGAGTTAAACATCTTCCTCCTGTTCTCGCTCCTATAGATAGAGGTTGGGGATCCGAGGTGCAGAGGGGGAAAAATTTGGGAAGGCGAGATGACGCGCGATCCGTCTTAGTCGCGCTCTCCGGGACACGTGATCCAAAGTAGATATTGCCATATATCAGTTTGGGAGCCCTTGGAAGCAAGCGTAGGAGTGGTTCGCTTTAGGTACGACCGCGGAGGTTCAAACGATTGGTTTTCAAACACCGCAGAAACATTATGAAAATCAATCGCAGACTTGTGTTCGTTTTCTGCCAGGCACACCCCTCGGTCAGCGCTCAGAGCAGACGGGGCCGAGGGATGGCTGAGGAAGTTCTCTCTTCCTCTTCCTCTCCCCTTTGGATCTGGCTTTCGGTGCTTTCGGGGAGGGGGGGGGACTCCGATGTGGGGTAGCCGCGTGGGAGTGAGGGGGTGGGAGGGAGGGTCTACCCGAGGCTTTGACTGTAATCTCCCCCTCGCATGTGTGTTCCTTTCCCATGCTAGTCATATTTTAAGTGCTGGATTATTTCTCTCCCCCCCCCTTTTTTTTCTTCCCCCCTTTAATGGGGATTGAATTACTAGAAGCTCAGAGGAGAGGATAAAGATTCTTCAGTAAGTCTTTCAAATATTTCTCAAGGTCTCCATTTGGGAGTGCGGCTAGGCTAGCATCCACATTCGCTGTGTATCTTGCCCAGGAGGGTAGGGGACAGGCAGAAGGGAGGGAGCAATTAGCCCCTGGCCTTCCCCATTGATGGATCACCTGGTTGCTCTAGCAGGTAGGCAGACATCATAAGAAAATATCCTTTGGCAGCCACAGGGGAGTGGTGGTATAAACTTTAAAAGCGGTGGTATACACTTTAAAACTTTTGCCAGAAATGGAAGTATAAAACTGGAGTCTAGTGAGGCCTAGATTAAAGATCCGAGTAAGCCCGGTATGAAAAAGGCCAGCTCAAAATGAAGAACCACTGATTTAAGATAAGGACTGATAAAGAACCAGAAGCCTGTTTTTTTTTTAAAAAAAATGTTTGGTTAAATATTTATCAGGTAAGAGAAGTAGAGTGAATATTTAATGCAAGTGTTTATTGTCAATCAATACATGTTCAACGTGTCTTGTAAATTTATTTGGTCAGCTAAGCTGGGGGAGGGATGTGTGGAAAAAATTAAGGAGTTTTATTAAAGTCATTTGTCCTTGTTTCCAGGCTTTTGGCTTTGAATATTTTATTTCTCATTCGTACCACACCACTATTGAAAGTTGAAAGAAGATATATTTCGGAAGCGTGTGCCACTATGGACATTTCCAGTCACTTTCAACCAACAGTTCACTTCTCCCAATATTAATTCAGAAAACTGGGATAAAAGATATATAAAACGTATGGGTCGTTGGATGAGGTGACTCATATATGCATAAAAGCATCCAAAAGAGACAGATTTTTTTTTGAAAAACGAACATGAACTGGATTTGCTGCTTAAAGTAATATATATATATATATATATATATATATATATATATATATATATATATATATATATATATATATAATCTGTTGAGTGAGGCACCTGGTCTACCAAATATAAATCAGTCTGTTCTGCAAAATGAGCCTGAAATAGCTATACAAGTCTCCCACTAACTCTTTGTCAGCCACAAAATTTTGAATATATATATATATATATATATATATATATATATATATATATATATATATATATATATATATATATATATAGAGAGAGAGAGAGAGAGAGAGAGAGAGAGAGAGAGAGAGCTGAAGGCTACATTTGTTTAATAGAACAGAGCTGTCTAATATTCTCTTGCCTCTTTGTTATTTCCTCCCTTTCTCCCCCCCTCCCGAGTTTTATGTTTCTCTTCTTTAATTTACTTCTTGCTGATTCTGTTTGCTCCATTCTGTTCTTTCAGTCTGTTCCACCTTTGGGCAGTGAGATGGGTTGGGAGCGGGGAAATCACCCACAATTTTGCTTTGTTTAGATAAAATCCTCCTGCCTTTATTGCTGTCACTGGCTCCACTTTGGGACAGTTTAAAAGCCCCATAAGAAAATTCACTTAGTATCAGGAGAGTAAAGTGACTTTGGTAGTGATATCCTGTCGATATGTGTTGTAGGAAACTAAATTCACAGGAAGAAATGTGGAAATCCAGAATTGTAGAGGCCGCTATGCAAGAATACTTTAAGGATGTTATTTGTGCACTATTTGCAAGACAATTTTTTCTTCTCTGGAAGATAGGCTGGCAGGAATCTTTTAAAATGCAATTCTAATAAGAAAACAAGAAAGAAAAAGGAACTACTTCAGATGACCTGATTTGCCCTTCTGATGTATTTTCACTGACGCCTTTTGATTAGGGTGACCTTGCTTGACTTTCAAAGCAACAGATAAGGGCTTGTTGGCAGGTAAACCTGGTTTCCAGGACTATTTTCTGGGAAGGATTCAGCACACAGAGCCAAATGGAACCGCAGCTAATAGGCAAGTTACTTTACAGCAAGAGAGAGATCAGCTTGATGGACTATACCTCATAAAAGACCAAAACCTTGTTAATGTGTGTGGGTGGTTGTAGTGGTGGATTAGAGGGTGTGTGTGGACTGAAGTACCCTTCCCAGGGTGGTACACCTGGCATTGAGGCATGTCATCTAAAGCCAAGATGGCACTATTGGAAGCCTTTTTTATTCAGAGCCTTCTGTTGATATTGTAACAGGAGAGCCCTGTTAGTTTATGGCAGTCCAAATCAAAAGGCCCGGTAGCACCTTTTTAATAAAATGTGTGTGTCAGAAAGCCTGCCACCCCAGACTTTATTAGGGACCTTTCAGGATAAGCTGGAGCAAAGTCAAGGGAGGTCTGTAGCATTTCATAAGCCAAAGGATTAAACTTGCCTCCGAGGCTATCCTCACCCCCAGATAGGATTTGGGCTGTTTTACAAATCTCTTCCTCTGGATAAGTAACTTTCCAACCATGTCAATTCCTCCTCCAGACTCCTTGCACGTTCCCATATCGAATGAGGCACCTCTGTGCCAGGATGAAAAGGAGGTCCCGTGCCTTGTCATTGAAGCAGATCTCAATTTCTCAAATCTTGCCTTTTGCCTTATTTTGAGGAGTCTGGAGCCTCTTTTTGGCCTCTCCCAGCTGTCCATTAAAGCATCAGGAAATCTTCCCGTTGCCTTTTATAGAGTAATGTTCCTACGTAAAACCCACTATGAAATGTATTGTTTATAAGGCTTATTATTCCTCATCCATTCACACCCTCCTCAACCCCCCCCCCAACACTCTGAAACCTGCCTGGGTGAGGATCTTTTCAGTTAAGGCTGACTGGGAAAAGATGCTCCATTCCATGTCTGATGCAAAGGCACTGTGTTTGCCTTTGACCAGATCTCTTCTACACACACACACACACACACACACACACACACACACACAGAGAGAGAGAGAGAGAGAGAGAGAGAGAGAGAGAGAGAGAGAGAGAGAGAGAGAGAGAGACTTCCCAGCCACCCTCAGTTTTGTACTTGGGGTAGAATTACTTCCCTATTTTATTCAACTCAGAAGAGATCTAAAGGATTGTGGTTAAAAGTTTGTGGGGCGTAATGTCTGAAGCTCTTTCCTCTAGGTGTGTGAATAATTTACTGCTCTTAATAGGTAGATATAAGTTTGGACAAGCCCAGCACTGTTGCCTGTTTTAATGCCCGGTTTAAAAAAGTATATAGGATTTGTCGGCTTCCTGCGAAGAAACACAGAAAAGACAGCTGTGGAGCCCTTGAATTTGAACCACCAAAGTCAATTCCCTGACTACCATAAAACAGAAGAATGAAGGCTGGAAGTCTCACATTCCTTTTGGTTTCCACTAAAAAAAAAAAAAAGGAAAAGAAAAGAAAAGAAAAAAGAAAAACAAAGGCCCAATGCACATATATATGGCAAATAAACTGCAAGGTCCGCTGACTGCTTTCATCCTTGAGAGATTTTTTTATTTTTTATTTTCTTTGCAGTCGACCCAACTTTTTAGGACACTTTTTAATTTTTAAGAAATAAAGGACAGCGGGATGCAAATGTTATTTCAAAATAGATTTGATTGCTTCTTATAAAATGGAAGGAAGGAAGGAAGGAAGGAAGGAAGGAAGGAAGGAAGGAAGGAAGGAAGGAAGGAAGGAAGGAAGGAAGGAAGGAAAGATGGATGGTGGAATAAAAAGAGGAAACAATTTTGTCCTTTTCTCAGGCCAGGCTTCATGTATGCAATTAAATGTGTATATCTACAGCCAGCTGGTTGTTCATGGCTCTTTCAATATTGCATTGCATCAAATTGCTATGTTAATACAACAATACATTCCCATCCCCTCCTGCCAATTCATTTTCCAACCTAAGGATGAGCCTGCTTAAACTCATGCTAGCATTTTTATTTTGAAATTATTTTTAAAGGCACAGGAGTGAGATAGTTCAGCTTGAACAAGACTTTTTATGAAACTTTCTTCTTCTTCTTCTTCTTCTTCTTCTTCTTCTTCTTCTTCTTCTTCTTCTTCTTCTTCTTCTTCTTCTTCTTCTTCTTTTCTTTCTCTCTCTCTCTCTCTCTCTCTCTCTCTCTCTCTCTCTCTCTCTCTCTCTCTCTCTCTCTCTCTCTCTCTCTTTCTCTCTCCAATATTAGCCTTCAAAGAAGCAGGGCCCCATTGTCCTTGCAGCAGGCCGGGCGAAAGAATTGTTGAAATTACCAGAATGGCCAGACTTTAGTTCTGGAGCTCTTTGTATATGTTAAGGAAGTAAAACCTGACCCTTATGGCATGCAGAGGGTTGATTTAGATAGGAGCTAGAAACATGTGCTACTGGTAAATGAGTCTCTCCAGGCTAGCGAGAAAAATAAATAAATTCATGTTCTCCTGTATATATTTTAATTAACTTCTCACTCCAGACTATTAACAACTTTTTCTCCAGAGTTCTTTGGCTGCTATTAGCAACTGTGGAATGGAGTCTATTTTGGAGAAGGTACTTTAAATGTTATCCATTAAAACCACTG